TAGAAAACTTTGAATCAATCTGACTGGATGATCTGATGTGAACTGGAGCTATAGAAATAGACTGAATAGAATTAAACTGGTTTCTGTGGGTTTGTTCCTGCAGAGTGGAGGACTGTGGAGAACAGAGGCTGCAGGCGGGTCTGAAGAAATGTAAGGAGTGTTTGATTGAGGACGTTCTCCTCTGAGCGTCTCTGATGAATCAACCACATGGTTTCCTTCTGTCTGTCTTTAGATGCTTGTCAGCTGGAACTGGATCCGAATACGGCGCACAGGAACCTCCAGCTGTCTGACGACAACAAGAAGGTGACGGTGGTGATGGAGGAGCAGCCATACCCGGATCACCCAGAGCGCTTCGACCACTGCTGCTGGCAGCTGCTCTGCAAAAATGGTCTGACTGGGCGGAGCTACTGGGAGGTGAAGAGGGAGGGGCCCGTCATCATGGCCGTCAGCTATAAACGGCTGAGCAGGAAGGGGCCCACGGCCGACTGCAGGCTGGGCTGGAACGACCAGTGCTGGAGTCTGGTCTGCTCCGACCGGCAGTACTCCTTCTGGCACAACAGGAAGGAGACGGTCTACACGCCGCAGTACGCCTCCCTGCTGTCCCTCAGGGTGGGGGTCTATGTGGACGTCCCCGCTGGGATCATTTCTTTCTACGCCGTCTCCGCCAATGAAATGTTCCACCTCCACACCTTCAAGACCTCCTTCACTGCCCCCCTCTACCCGGCTTTCGGCTTCGGCTTCGGATGTTGGTCCTACAACTCGTCCGTGTCTCTGTGTCAGGTTTAGCCCCGCCCACCGGCCGAGGAAGACGTTTGTCCCACAGATCTCCTACTTTCTGATTGATTTTGTAAAAGCGTTTTGTCCCTTTGTGAGTTTTCTCAGTGGAAAAGTTCATTTAGTTCAGTTAAGTTTAAAGATAAATTAATGTGGGTGGAGGGAAGGAGGTGGGGGGGTTACGTTGAGCTGAAATAAAACCGTTTTTGTATCTAATGATCTCTAAAATTTTACAAGAAGTTAATATTTCTCTAGAATGACCCTTTTAGTCTCTGGACAAAAGTTCTTTTCT